AGTTTTAAAATATGAAGCTATACATTTCTCTAGTTACTTTCAGGTTCACCTTGAGCAAATCCACCCAGAAGTAAGCAATAGCATATATGGTCCAGCAGATTGCAACTGACAGACTCCACTTGGAGGGCATGCTGTATGTTTCTCTTATAGGTCAACTGAAGGGCAGACCTACAGAGCAAATCTATACTTGTTTATATTTGTTTACAGCTGACAAAATTATTCTAAGTTGGTTGTAGTTGATATTATCCCAATAAAGGGTTTATCCCAGAATAAAACTAGACAGTAATTGACAACCATTTCAAAATTCATCTGGACATCTAAGTATGGGTATTTACTTTGTTCCAGGCAACTTCAAAACGTTAATTTTTACAAGTGTAATTTCTACTTACCGTAGCTTCTAGGTTCCATATTTCAAAAATAGGAAGTCCCAAATATATTGAAAATAGTCATACACTTGTTAGGGAAATTTTAGGCACAGATATGTGAAATCCAAAGGTCTTACAGTGATGTAAAACTGTAGGGACATGACTTAAAAGATGAGAACACTTACTGTAAGTTATAAGCACACACTTATAAGGAAAAACTTACAATCAAGTTTCAAAATTGTAGAAGCCTACATTTTAAAATACAGAAGCTTATAGTCCAAAAGGGCAGAGAATACCTCTCTAGAATACCTCAACGTTCTTAATAATAATATTGTTTTTTAAAAAAAGCAATGTAAGGCATGGAAAAATGTTAAACCTTTTAAAGGTAAAAATACATCAAGTTAAAAAAGCATTATTTAGCTTCAAGCATGTTTAGATGCACAGAAAAACATTTTAAAAGAGATCTCACCCAATTTAGCCAGGTTATAATTGTAAACTGAAGTAAAATCCATTGTTGATATTCAGTAGTTCTTAACTGAGGAAGTGGGTAACAAACACCTTTGAGAATCTGATGAAAGCTATATACATGATCCATAGAAAATGTAAACTCATTCTTGATCTTGTCTTCTCTCTCTCTCAGACACAGACAATTATGTCCAATTTTCAGAGCCTCTGAAACCAATTAGCTATTAGGAATTCTTCCAGTTAAATATTGTTTCTGTGTTTAGTGTAGTGCTACATGACAAGAGATTTTGAAAACATACGTCAGCAGGGACTTCTGAGAGATTTTCCTAACCTGAGGGTCGGAGGACTCTTGCCAGAACCGGGTGCGCGAGAGGAGAAGCCGATCCAGTATATCACCAAGGAGTGGACGGTGATCTTGGCGCCTAGAGAACGAGAGCTACAACGGGTGTCCGAGATTGCGCACAATAGGTTCTACGATCGCCCAGACGAGAGAGGCTGGATCCGCCACATGTGTTGTGGACTGTTTGTGCCCTCCAGAGTACTCCTCCCCGGACACCCAACAGCCAAGAATGGCTTGGGAAACCTCCCCTATGAGTCCCTGGGACTATGAAAAGACATTTGGTTCTGTAAGTTGTGGCCTGTTGCCCGAGTTGAAGTTATTTGACCCAATAAGTAATGTACTGGAGGAAGATGGAGTTAAGATGTGACAGTTCTAAGATTATATAGACGGCTCCCTTGTTATTTCCCGCGGAAACAGAGGAGCTGCCTAGAGAAAATATAGAACCCAATCACACATATGCATAACTTTTAAATATTGTATACTGTTTACTTCTGCCTACAAATTAAGCTCAAGGTCAGTCAAGCTATCTATGTTCCAAATCAAAAAGTATATGGAGTGCATACAAAATTTACAGAAAAAAATAACATTTAATGGATTCTACTGACTTGAGGATGACTTTGAGACTGTGTTTTGTACACCTTTCTTTCCTAGTCGGACTACAACACTCAGAACAGTAGCTGACAGAATACTCTGCCGCCCCCAGTGTTCCTCACTTCAACTACTGGTTCATTCATCTTCTGTTCAAGGAAGAGTGAGAAGACACCATCCTATCCTTTGCCTCCGTCAGCAGGCTGTCTTAGGCTGTTCCTGGCTATTGAAACATCTTGGCTGGGTGCTACACAAAGTCTGTGTGTTTTGGCAAGATCTATTCCATAACATTTGAACAGTGTTATAGAGTAGGATCCCTGTATCCACTGGATCAATATCTGCTGATTCACTTATCCACAGTCTGAAAATATTAAACATATTACCGTAACTGAAAACACCTATGGTGTTCAATATGTAATTATCAGAGTGGCCATTAGAGGCAACCAAATCATACTACAGGAACGCCTCCACCGTTTCACCTACAGTGGGGTCTCGACTTACGAACTTAATCTGTATTGGAAGGCGGTTTGTAGGTCGAAAAGTTTGTAGGTCGAATCTGCATTTCCCACAGGAATACATTGAAAACCATTTAATCCATATCTGCTCTTTTCCATCCATAGAAACTAATGGGAAGCTGCTATTCTGCCTTCTACCACTAGAGGGGGATATTTTTTCTTTTCTTTTTTTCTTAGGTCAAGAAAAGTTCAGGAAAGGACAGAGGAGGCAGGGAACAGTTTGCAAAGCACTTTTGAAATCTTTTTTTTCAACGAAGCCAATTTTAAAGCATGTTTTAAAGCATGTTGTGCTGATTTTTTCAGCACAAAGACACACAGGCAGGAGTCTGGAACTCACACCTCAGCCTTTTTAGATGCTGAGCAAGCCTCCGGAAGCCTCTTCAGAGCCAGCCAATCAGCTGTTAAGCGAGGAGAGGAGGGGGCAGGAGCGGAGAAAAGCACAAAATGGCTGCCAGGCTCCCTTCTGGGTGTCGGCTTTTATCTGTTTGCTGCTCTTTTTCCTGCAGTTCGGGGGCTACCAAGGCCTGGTAAGTGACTTTCTTTTATTTATTTTTAAGTTTCTGACCCCCTTTTCCCCTCCAGAAGCCTCTAAGGGGAGGGAGGGGGCACTTTTTTCCCTGTATCTTACTCGAGGGAAGTTGAGTCTTTATTTCCCTATCGGGCAGGTTCGTAAGTTGAATTGTTCGCAAGTAGGGTCGTTCGTAAGTCAAGACCCCACTGTAGTCCTGGCAGCTTCCTTCCAGACCAGTGTTGCAAAATTCACAGCTGGATTTACTGGCGAGGTGGCAGGAGGGGCACTAACATAAGCCAAACTGCCTCCTGAGAGAGGTTTCCCACCTCCTGCCCTTCCTGCCTTCCAGCTAGCCCCTTCCTCAATACTCCTGGGCAAAGAAGGAAATGGATTCTTAATTGCTTTGAGGAAAACCCACAGAACTGTTGATATTAGGTGTTTGAGAGAGAGTGAAAGAAAGAGAGACAAAGACCGTCATCTTCAGTCTTGAGCACAAGAACAAGAGAAGATTTCAACTCAGCTCTTAGTCATAGAGGTCCCATCGAGATAAAAATTACAGGTGCACGAGAGTCCTGAGTCCAACAGACTGTTAGCTATAACTCTGCTTTTCAGTATCCATGTGGGGAAGGGGCTTGGAAACAATTATGGGTGGTCCTACTGTACTGATATGTGTTTGAGAAGTATTATAGGCATGTAAGGAGCAGAACTAGGCCCCTGGATCTAGGTCTCCCTATTCAGAAAGGGAAGTACACACATTGACTCAAAATGATTCCGTACAGTGGTTGCTTGGTTAGAGTCTACTAATCACTTGTTTACATTATAACATTGTGTTGCTCAAACAATTAAAGAACATGAAGTGAGCCTTTAAATGTAATTGAAAATAGTTTATTCTTTAAATTAGAGAAATGATGCATAACAACTCTTCTGAGTAAGCATATAAAATGATTGGCCTTTTTTTGATCGCAAGTTTAAGAACCGTATTTTAATCATGAAGGTAAAATGGCATCCATCCAAATAAAGGTCAAAGGTACAGCTCTATTATGATCGGTTGTCTGCCCTGTTCAACAGAGACCTGTGGTTAGGGCAGGAGTACAAGGGAAGTATATAAAAGAAAAAAAAACACAAAAGTAAATAAGAGCAATCCTTGAGAAAGCAGTGAACATCAAAATGTATTAGAAACATTGTTTTCAATAGGACAAACACTCACTTGAGATGTATGTGGCAAGATATTTTCTATAAACAACTTTATCAAAGTCAGAGACAGGCACACCATGGAAAAGAAGGTCATGCCAAATTTTGTGTCGTATTATTATTATTATTATCATTAAAATTAAAATGTTGGGTCAGGAAAGTGGTCAGACTGGTTTGCTGTGTTTTTTTTTTTTAAGTCACTCAAGCACTATGTCAAGGCAGTCGTTTTCCTTTGTTAAGTAGATCGTTGGAAGGTAGACCCAGTACTTCTGGATGGTGTTTCCTGAGATGTAATAACTAGGAATTTGGGTGCCTGTCAGAAAAATACATCTGGGGCTTGGACATGACAGTGATGGGGGGAAACTGCAGTCTTTTGTGTGGCAGCGTTTCACAGAGATCCCAGAGACAGCTGGGGAAGCTGGGGGACTCCAAATGTTGAACTACCGCTTTCATCATTGTTTATCCAGACCTATCCTGGCTTGTGTTGATAAGAGTTGCAGTTCAATACTCAGGTCATACATTCCCAAGTACTGTATTTATTCCAAGGGAAGAAACCTAGGAAGTAGCAGGGGAGGAGTAACCTGTTGACTGAAGTAACCCTGAAGTTACTGTGCCTCATTTTATCACCTCAGGTAAAATCCAAAGAATTGGGTGTATGCTACATTTACATGCAGTGATTTTATGGCGTCTGTTGTTTTAGTGCTCTGCTGTAAAAAAGCACAGTGTCTCATAGTGTCTGATGTAGATTCGGAACCACATCGCGAGCAAAGTTACCTTTTGAACTACAATTCCCAGAATCTCCCGACCAGCGGGACCACGGACCATTCTGATTTGTGGTGGTGGTTGTGGAAAATAAAACCCTTAAACATTCCCAAAGTTGTGACTTCGAAGCCCGCT